CCTTTGGTAAGATCTTAAACTTAATAAAATGGGCAAGGAAGTGAAAGTCACTGGTCTTACAAGGTTTAAATTAAATTCTTGTAATTTTCATCCTTATTACTTTGGAACAGGTCTTGCTGATTTTACTTTTTTTAAAGATTTATTTATTCATACAGAACTCGGGTACAGGTCAGAGATGCAGGGGCAGTGAGCGGATTCTCCAGAGACAGAGTGGGGAGCAGAACAGGCAGATCTACGAAGTACACTGCTGAGGGATCTCCTCTGGGGCAGGCAGGAATCGACCTCATGCGGTAGTGACCTAGGCTTCTTAGTGCTATACTTTAACCCGCTGCGCCACCAGGGAGGACCCTGATTTTACTTTTAAAACAGTAACATATTAGTATGTATAGCCTTCTTTAGTTCTTTGTTTGATAGAAGTTCTGTTCTAATTTGTCCCGTGTTTTCAAGATGCTATTACATCAAGGTCCACCTTCGAGATCATGTCCTCCATAAAACCTTGACTAATCCTACAAAAACTGACCTTTCTCTTTTCTGAAATTCCAAACTATTTGGTATATCTCCATTTCTCTCATTGCTTTTTATATTATACCCTAACAACCACTATCCCCTTTGTAGTAACACTTTTTGTGTCTTGCTCTATTACTTGTGCCAAGGATTGTTTGGTAGACTCTCATTTAGAGTATTTCCAAGAGGATGTCCCCTTTGCCATGACTCAGGCATTCTCAATGCAAACCTGATTCAGAAAGAGTTTCACAGGTTTTGTAGGCTCCAGAATGAGAATAATGACCCAATTATCTTCCAGTTCTATTACCTTCCCATCCATAGAGACTAGAATAGAATGAGGCTCTTGATCTGATCTTAATCACTTGACTGTGTCTTAACTTTGCTCCACTGTAAATTTAACCCGCATCATGCACAGTTCAGAAGAACTGTTCTCACTGAGGTTCACCAATTTCTATAGGAAGATATTTAACTAATTAAGCTATTCTGTCTTAAAAATCTACAGAAGAGAGATTAGGCAAAGGGTATCAGCTAAAAAATTATTTTTGTTTGTTATGTTTTACAATTTTCCTGGAGTTAGCAGCTTTTCTTTTAATCATTATCAGTGCCCTTATGTGACTATTTGATACTATACCTCAAAATATGCTACCTCATTTTATATTCATTTTCTTGTAACTCTTAATTGTCCTTCTAGAAATTGTAAAGCCTGTGAAAGCAGGGGCCACACTTTACTTGCCTTTGTAACTTCACTGCCTTCGGCTCCCAATAATGTCTGGGGAAAGATCAAGGAAGATGAACAGTTTGAATGGTTTCACAAGCAGAGGTCTTACATGGGAATCTGATCACAGCTTAATTGTATATAGCCTGAGCACATTGCTTCATTCTTTAAAAAAAAATCTGATAGTCTTTCCCTTCATTCCTACAAGGATATTTTGTGATGAAGAAATTGGATTATACATAATATTTTGAGTCTTTCAGAGACAGAATTACATAAAGCACTTTGCCTCTCAGCAGTTGCATAATTTAGTTAGATGACATCTTGTGTTGGAGTCCACTTTAATGTGAAGACTTTATTGCAAACCTTTAAAAAAAATTAATAAGCGATTCAGCCTTTCTGGTGATTTTGAAATGGTTTAAGAGAATGAAAATCAAGAATGTATCAAGAGACTAAGTTAATTACCTGTCTCTACCACAATTGCTCTATTCATGACCCTGGAGAGAGTTGCTTCTCTCTGCTCATTTGTGGTTGCCCCCTTCCAGTGTGTTGTCAGAATACATTTTACTGTTGTATGAAATAAAATCATGGAAATATACAGTTCTAAATGAGCTTAGCACATAATAGGGTCTCAGTAAGTATCTATGGGATAAGTGAGTGAATCACTACATATCGATATAATGTTCAGTCAGGTATTAGTGCTCCAGCCTGTGCTGCAATACTTACATTTGTCATTGTCCATTACGTTTGTCAACAAGTTGAATTATTGTCAAATGCAACTTTAGACTTCTGTGATGCTTTCTCTAATTCTGCTGGGCTGCTAGACCCTTCTGTTCTATGTTCCTCAAGTATTATTCAAATTTCTGTTATAATGTTGACCATAACACATCGTAGTATTCTCTTCTATAAGACCTATCATGTCTCTTCTTCTGGACTGTGAGCTCCATGAAGACAGAAGTTACCTTATTTTATTTATATGCCCAGTTCCAAGAATAGTACAGAATGGATGAAAGACTGGACGGAGGGAGACAGAAAATAAGTGGAAAGAATAATTGTGTGTTGATTGCCAACTCAGTGGTCTTCTTAGACATACATACTCACAACAGAAGATTTGTGCCAAAGAAAATTCATGGGACTTCAGGAAGAAAAATTTTAAGTTATTTCCATTTATTTGATTATTCAATTATTTGAATTCTTATTTTTGTATATGTTTTACTTACATACATACTGTTTTAATATGGCTGTACTAGTGTTAAATTTGTAAATAAGTATACTAGAAGATATGTATTCAAACAGTTTTTCATAAAGATACAAACCAAAAATTTAGAGTCCCTTCATCTAGCTCTTTGTCAGTACTATGCTCAATATTTGAAATATACCATTTCACTTATCCCATGGGAAAGCTGATGAGGTATATACGCTGTGGTTCCATTTTACAAATGAAGAAGCTGAAGCCCAGAGAGGTTAAGTAATTTTCCCCGCTCACATGTTCCCTGTAAATGGTAGAACTAGGGCCCACACTAGAGCTGTCTGACTTAACTACCGCTCTCTCATGTTTTTCTGTTGGAACCCCTGCGGGTACCCCTCAGGCATACTACAGGCGGTGGGTTAAATAAATAAATTGAGTGGATAAATCAGTAACAGTGCATACATATTAAAGCTTTCTCTTAAAGAAAAATTGTGAAAATGAACTTCCCTTTTCAATAAAAAACATAGCATTGGCAATGATAAGCCAAACAACACACCTATTATGTGACACATTCAAACATCTAGTTCATTTTGACAGAAAGCCAAAGTGGAAGACCTCTTGGCACTGTTTGTTGTTGAGTCTGAAGTTTAGCTGTTGGTTTCATTTTCAAATTCAAGAGGGTGTGTTGGTTTGTTTACTTAAGATTCTATATTCATCACCACTTCCTAACTGCAAAACATTTGCATCACTCCAAAAAACAAACAAACAAAAACTCATATACATTAGCAGTCATTCTCCATTCTTTCTTCATCCCAACCCCTGGTAACCACTAATTTACTTTCTGTCTCATATTTGCCTATTGTGGATATTTCATCTAATGAAGTCATATAATCTATGACCTTACGTCTCTAGTTTCTTTCAGTTAACACAGTGTTTTCAAGGTTCATCCATGTTGTAGTGTGCCTTTGGGGGAGATTATTTTGCTCCAGTTGGCCTCACTGACTTTCTATTCATTTCTTGTGTATGTTTGTTACTTGTTATTCTAGCTGTGTAATCTCTAGTGGGACACTTTAGGAAAAAAAGATTTTCCAAAAGTTGAAGAGTTTGCTTTTTATATGAACACTTCTGTAATAGCTTTACATTGTACTTTCAGAAACGTCATAACATATAAAAATAAATTCATTTCGGGAGGGGGAGCTGGGACAGGGATGGGAGTGGAAAGCAGCTGCATGGCTTCTCAGGGTGGCAAGTTGTCTGAACTAGGAACAGTAAGAGTCTCAGTGCATTCTCCCAACAGCTTTTCAGAATTCTCTATGCCATATTTTTAGATTGCAAGTTTTTACATTCCTCAAGTCATGATGCTACTAATGGTATATTAAAAACTTATATTGTCAAAGGAATAACAAAAATTAACTTCATAACTGTATTTTTCTATTTTTTTATGCCCCTATGAGAACACATAAAGAAAAGAAACAAGAGAAGGCTATAGCTGTCTCAAAGGGTCTTCTAAGAAAGTAAATGTAGAGGATGGAATACTTAAAAAATTGTAATGTGTCATGGAGAAACCTTTTTGAACAGTGCTTCCAGATATAGAAGAAAATTTCAAGATTGTTTTTAAGTTATAAGCCAGTTCTGGGTGTGAATCACACAGCTCATAAGCAATGTTGAAATTTACATATACTTTAGTTTAAGCCAAAGAGAAAGGAAAGGTTTGAAATTTCCATATGCCAATTTCACCCTCTACTGAAAAGAGTATTTTTATTAACCTCCAAAAATTTGTAGTAGTAATCCACATGCCAATAGGTCACATATATAATAAAGTCCCTCTCAATGTAAGTGTTTATTGTAGCTGCAAGGTCTTTCTGGGTTTCAGACCTTACATGTTCCCATCTTATCTTCATTTTATTGGATGGCTTTTAATAGCATTGGTCATTTTCAGCTTTCCTCTAAGCTGAATGTATTTGATCATAACTTTCACAGTGATGTAATCCCTCAATTCCTTGGTAAACTGCATTTTAATGGAGAACAGTTTTTCTTTTTAAAAAAATAACTGCTTTGAATTTTTATCTAGTCAATCTTCACATACCAACCATGGGAAATATAATAAGATAGTCATGGTGCTTTACTTTGTAGAACTCATAACCTACCTGTGAGCTCTAAAAACAATTCTGTAACTGCAGTAATGACAAAAACTAAATACTTAAGAATTTATGTACTCACATAATGCAAGAGGCAACCAAGCTTGTGGTTGCCAGAGACTTTCCTGAGGAAAGGACACATAATTTGGTAGTTAATGGAGACCTAAAAAGTTAACCAGTTAGTTCCTGGCCATGGAACTAGCTTGTGCAGAGACCCTAAAGTGCACATAAGTTTGATGCTTTGGAGGACCATAACAGATAGTATGGCTAAGGGGTTAGGTGCAGAATCAACAAGTAAGGCAGGTAAGGTAAGCATCCTATTAAAGCACATTAAAGACTTTAACCTCTGTGAGTGGGAAGACTTTGAAGAGGTTAAGACTGACAAGTACCATTTGACAGTAGACCAAAATTAAGAAAGGCCAACCGACTCTTTGTCACTTTCTTCTCTCTTGTTCAGGAATATGACTGGAGAAATTATCAACCCAGCCAGATGAGTGAATCTGAGTTACAAATGCTAGCAAGCTTACGTAGGCAACAGAATGAAGAGCTGGAGGACACTGGGGCTTCCCATGGCCTGAGTGCATCCCAGGTTGACAACTGTAATGTCAGCATAAGTACCAGCAGCGATGACACAACCACCTGGAACTCCTGCCTGCCACCGGTGAGTACCAAGCTTCACATCTCCTTTTATTGCCTTAACAGGGAGCAACAAAGGCCAGAATTGCCTAGGAAAATTAGGGCCTGAAGGAGAATGTTTCCTGTTGGACAAACTGAGAGCCCATTCTGAAATAGTGTTTTGGGCTTGGAGGCATTGTCTTTTCTTATAGTCTCTTACTTACTTTCAGATAATGTGTGTTAACTATCTGATGATACATAAAGAAAATAATTTTACTGCAGACTCTGCATATCCCATTGCATTCCCAGCTTCCAGCTTCTATAAACCCTGGCATGTAGAAGGCACTCAGTGATTATAACTAAATATTTGTTACATATTCCTGAAACAACATGACTCATGATCAACAAGGAAAAAACCTATTGATGTATTAAATATTGTTCAGATATTAGGGTAGAAAAGAACCTTCTGTAGATGGTACCAGATATTCACTGTCCATGTCTGAAGGCCATGAGAGGCAATGCAGGTATTTCAGTAGCTTGTATGTTCCCATTTCTCTATATAGAAATTACTTTTAAATATGACCTTTCATCCTGTCTGTGAACTGTCCAAGGAGTTGAAACAGACAACTGTCTTCCTGTTTTTCAGGTGAAGAAATCAAAGTCTGTACCCAAGCTCCCTCATTGAATCAGTGGTAGAACCCAGAGCAAAGTTCAGTATTTCTAGTACTTTTCCAAAATTTCATCATCAAGGGTTTTATGACTTAGAAAAACTAAGCAGAAACTTCAACAGAACATTCTATATAGCATAAGACATCTCATGGTCATTATTATAATTATGGTAATTAGAGCTACCATCTCTTTAAGCACATAGAGACATTTTAGATCTCCATAAGCCCATAGAACGTTTACTTCTAAGACCACATTCAACATGAGATCAAGCATATTTAAAATTACATTTTATCCAATAGTAAATGTAACTCTTTTTTTTAAGATTTATTTATTTATTCACACAGAACTGGGGTACAGGCCAGAGGTGCAGGGGCAGTGAGAGGATCCACCAGAGACAGAGTGGGGAGCAGAACAGGTAGATCAATGAAGTACACTGCTGAGGGGAGCAGCGGGCGGGTCAGGAGAGCTCTGCCGCACCATGTGGTCACCTCCGGGTTGGGCAGGGATCGAACTCATGTGGAATTGGCTTTAGCTTCTTAGTGCTGTGCTTTAACCCGCTGTGCCACCAGGGAGAGCCCCAATAACTCTTTTTTTTAATGATACAGTTCTGAGAAGAAACCAAAATTGTATAACTTGGACTGATATTTATACATAACTATATAAAGGTTAAGTTTAAGTGCAGTGACAGTGAATATTTTAAGTGTTTTATTAAATATTTATCAATTTTGAAATGAACTCTTAGTATTTTAAAGCCAATTGATTTCCAGGTCTCCAATGTCTGTGTAGACCTTGGCAATCTCAGAGCCCTGGCACTTGGCCTAACAAGTGTGTTATCTAATATATCCTTACTGCCATCTGATATGGCCAACACTGTTGAGTTCCAATTTCCAGACGAGAAAGTTGAAACCCTTGAGTAAAGTCACTCAGATTTAGCTTGGTTAGATTTACAAGTGTGAATTACTAACCACCATAATACGGTGACTCCTAAAATGTGACTTGTTAAATGAGTGCTACCGATTGCCAGTGGAGGGTGAAGTTTCTGCTCTGGAGAGAACTCACTTGTCTTTATGAAGGAGGAATTTAAACTGACTCTAAGGAGCTGGGGGTCGGGGGGCAGGAATTATGTCAATTTTTCATTAGTGTCAGTCCCACCCCCCAGGTTTCTCTTGCCTTCATTGTGCTTTCATTGAAACAAACATTCAAGTATGCTTGACCTTGCCAGACCTCCAACAGAGGCCTTAACCTCCCAGAAAAAAATAACCCTTTGTGCTGGTTTTTCAGAATATATTTATAACAAGATCTAAGAACATAAGAGTAAGTTGGAGATTTTTGCCAGTGCAATTTGCAGTGGAATTGAAATATTGCCCATCTTATAAAATATTCCTCAGCAGTCATTTAAACTGCAAGTAAAAAAGAGAACAGTGGCCTCCTGAAAGAGCTCATTCTGTCATGAAGTAGCTGGGAGACCAGCACTACAAAGGGCAAGCTGAGGAATGATTATTTATGGACTGAAAAGACTGAACTCTTGGTTGCCCTGGATACCATGTTCTCATCACTGTCCTGTTCTGGCAGGGACTGAAGTCTCTCTCTTGCATGTCAACTACTTCACTGTAGGAGTATACAGACCAAAATAACCCCACCGGTAATGAACTTAATAACCCCCGTATGAGAAATTGAAGATAGTCTGTTTTTTAGATAGAGAAATAATTGAAAAGCAAGCCTACCTTTGGTATTCATAAGATATGTTTATTATTTCATCAAATTTCATCTATCCTAATATTGGTGCTATCACCAAATGGAAAATTGTATTCCTTAATGAACTCTGTATCTTGTTACTCATATAGAGTTTAAATAGAGCAATTTACAGGAACCATCGTGGTCTCCATTTAAAGAGAGAGCCTATGACTTTCTCTTTAGAAGCTGTATAGGGACAGCAATAAAGAAGAAATGAAAGAATTCATCACTTTATCATAATAATATCCTGCATTTCTTAGATCTCAGCAAATGACACACCATCCCCTCTGGCCTCAGACCAGAAATTCAGAAGAAATCTCCACTTCTCTTATTCCTTCATTTCCTATGCCCCACTGGTCTCAAATTCTGAGAATTTTCTCTCCATTTTACTTTTGAACCTTCACTACCTAACACCATAGACTTGATATTTATTTTTCATCCAGATCCCCTCAAAAGTCTCCTGATATCTCTGGACCTCCAGTCCAAGCACTGTAGGCTGATGATTAGGAATATATGTTCTGAAATAAAATTGCCAGGATCCAAATCCTTATAAGACCTTTGTCACTGTATATGAGACATACTATTTAATAAGTAAAGTCTGGTTGTTGTTATTATGATTGCTGTTGTGATTATTCATAGTAGTGATCTTTCTAAACCCTAAATCTGATCTTTTTCCCCCCTCTTTCATGACTCCCAGATTCTATACTTGGGCATACAGATCTGCCCTTAATTTGAGAACACGTCCTTCCTCTAGCCTCATCTCTCATCACACCCTATTTTGTGATCTGTGCTTTAGTTCCCATTGTAATTACTTGTGCCTTGTACCTAAATGTCCCTCAAAACTTAGCTCCAAATCCCTTTATGTCCCTTCTTCCATCCTTTTGTAAGAGCAAGGGATTTCTCCAGAATCACTCTCACCACAGCTGAGCTGGTCTGTATCACATTAATTTATCCCACATATTTTTTGATAGATATGATATGCTGTGGACTGTGCTAGGGATTCAAATAAGGCTTTACTGAACCTTAAACTGTTCTCCATATTGAAGGGAAGCAGAAAGTAAACAGTTCACTGTAACTCAGGGTAGTGAGTGATAGGAGGAGAACAAAGACTTTTGGAGCACGTGAGAGGGGGCAACTAATTCTGCCTGTTGTTCTCAGGGATGCTTTCACAAAGAAGTTCCAAGAAAGCCAGAATTCAATAACGAGTGCAATTTTACCATATAGAAAGAGGGAGAAATAAAAATTCCAACCTTCTGACAAGGGACAGAATTAAATCTGTGCAGGTGAGAGTAGAGTTTCTCTCTCAACAAGATAACCTCCTCTTAGTATCTATTTTTCTCCATCAGTTTGAACATAACTTGAAATGAGTTTTTGCTGTCTCTACCCACCCTGCACCCAACATTCACATAGAACACACTCTTAACAGCTCCATGGCTTGCCCATCACTGCCCCGGCCTTTGTTCAGGTCATGCCTTTGCTTATGATCTTTCCACCTTCAGACCCTCTAATCCTCTTATCTACCAGGAACACTCCTTATTTTCCAAGAATCCAACTGAGAGCTAACTGCTTCATGAAACCCTTCCCAACCTGCAACCACCCTGTACAGAATTATTTGTTTTCTTCTCTGGGTTACCATTATTTTCATGCTTAATAATAGCATTTATGATACCAGTAACCATTGTTACAGTAGCCCTCCCCTCAGACCCAACAGTGAGCCTCTGGAAGGCAAGACCATGCACAGTGCAGAGGTTGGCATGAGGGCACATTCACTCACTGCTATTCAGTCGCTGGTTGAATGAATTAATCAATAACATAAAAACCTTCCTTTTTTTTTACTCTAAAATAGTCTTCATCAGAATTCCTAAATAAACATCTGCTTTGCTGAAATAAATCCTGAATGATGCAGATAATATTTTTTAAAGATTTATTTTTGCATGCAAAACTGGAGTACAGAACAGAGGTGCAGGGGCGGTGAGAGACTTCACCAGAGACAGAGTGGGGAGCAGAACAGGCCGACTGACGAAGTACACTGCTGAGGGGAGCAGTGGGCTGGTCAGGAGGTCTGCTGCACCATGTGGGTCACCTCCGGGGCAGGGATCGAACTCATACTAAAGAGGCTTTAGCTTCTCAGTGCTGTGCTTTAACCCACTGTGCCACCAGGGAGGGCCCTGATGCTGATAGTATTTTACATATTTGATAAATGGATATTCATTGAACACAAAATGGAAAATTTCCCTCTGGGCAGGATCTGATGACCAATAGTAAAAAAAAAAAAAAACAAAAAAAAACAGAAGTCTGGAAGGGTCACATTATGTTCAGCATCTTTGCCTAACAGCTTCACACACATTGCAGTCTGAAGCCAGAAAGCCCTTTTGGAGTAGAACACAGTCTTTAGCAAAATCTATTGTGTTTACTACAAGCTTTGATTCCTCAGCTTTCCACAGGATCTGTACAATTCAGAGTAATATGTCCTATTTAAAAGGTGTTTAGATATAATAAATTAGTCATTTAAAAGTGTAATTAAATGTAGCCATATTTCTCATCGCAAATTGGCTTTTGTAGGCATCTCTTGCTAAATAAATCAAGCCTACTAAGAAATCCATTGGCCTTTGACAGACAAATTTTTCAAAGTTTCTAACTTAG